CCCCCCTACGGTGTTTGTATGTACGCTTTTCTGAGATGTTGTTCTGCGGGGCACACTAAGTAGAATGTCATATAGGGTGTCCCCTTCTGGCTGCTGCAGATAACTTATTTTTACAGAAAAATTATGACATAACTAGAGATAAAAAAGCACCTATCTCAGCACAAAATTAAGGTATATAGGCTATACACATGCAAAAATCTGTCAAGCCCAGACATAAGCTGTAAGGGTAAGAAAATGCTGCAGAAATAGTGGTAAACAATAAGAAAAGTTGTGTACAATTGTAATTTCTATTCACTGATTAGTCTAACTGTCTTCACCCAGGCATCTGCAGAGTGGACCGTGTAAGCAGTTCCAGCATGTGAAGGTGGATTCTCTCATTCAGCCAGAATCCATGTCCACTGTGTCTGTTCCAGGTAAGCTCTCAGCCATCTCATAAAGAAGGCTTTAAAGAAGGGTTATCACTTACCAAAGTCATCACATAAGATCAATCAGTGCAAGGTGCTTGCACCTGCCATTTTGTTTTTCTGAAATGTCATACTGGGAACCTCCAATAATTGGGCACACGTCATATGAAAAAATGCACTTGGAAACCAAGTCAATTCTTTGGTGACTCTTTCCAGGTCAATGTTGTAGAGAGGCCGGCCTGAGTTTGGACTTCGGCTCCAAATCGATATTTAAATGCAGAGCTAGACCAGTTTTGGGGTCTCCTAGTAATGCAACTCTAATAACATTATTCAGAAACCTTGTACATGCCACTAGGAGGTCCTGTAGGTAATAAAGTATACAATATACAACACTGTCAGGAGTGTTTGAGCAATTTTTTTGTAAACGTTAACCAGTGTAAGCACTCCTGACAGTGTTATAGTTTTTCCCAACCCCTGTCCCTGCCATTTTTGCAGAACACCTTGGTCTACATATGAAAAATATGAAAGCATGCAAAATAAAAAAAACTGAATTTGGTAAATAGTATTAATATTAATAACTATTCATTTATAGTTAACAGAATACAATATTTTTCCCATCATTGGTTATTTGAGTCCAGTGTGTCAGGATTGAAAAGGCTGTTTTCCTTCTGGCAGCTTGATTCCAACTATCATAGTTCAGTTTGAAATTTGAAATCCAATTGGTTATGTGAAGGAACACTTTCTTCCACCCTAAATTGAAGTGACATTAAATTCAGGAGTTAAAATTTAAAGGAGTTAAATCTTAAAAATACATTCAAGTTCCCTAACTAGTAACACAAATGAATCTTATTTGTGTATCACTCAGCTGTAGATCCTCAAATCATCTCTGGATTGGTGCTGACACTGTCCTTCCTTCCAGAGGGTGGCTACATTGTTCCCCATGGTCCTTGTGTGTGTTGTGAAGTGGCCACCACTCCAAGCTCACTCCCATGATGGACAACAATTCCAATACAAATTAGTAAACTAAACGTGAGATTGTAGTCCATCACAGGAGTGAGCTTGGAGCGGTGAATACGCAGGGACAATGGGGAACAAAAGTAGCCCCCCTCCAGAAGGAAGGACAGGGGCAGCACCAATTCAGAGATGATTTGAGGATCTACAGCCGAGTGATACACAAATATGATACATTTTTCTTACTTGTTGTCTTACTTGGGTACTTGATTTCGAAAGGATCAAAAGCACTAGTAAGCATCATAAGTGCTTATAGAAAATCTCTTCACTTCTCCTTCAATAATTTCTTCCTTCTCCCCACAGAGAATGGAATGATTGGGTGCTGTGCATGTGCTGCACCCATTCATTGGCCGAGCTGGGTCTCAGCAGTTTGTGCATAGAGCATCAACAGGTTCATTTGTTACAGCCCATCATTGTCAGCTGCCTTTGCATTTCCATCTTAGATTTAAAACTATTAATTAGGTACATTTTATTCTTTTTTCCAGCTTCCTGGTGTATCCTAAACCGAGACTGACAGCGTTTCTTGTGAAACTGTCCAGATTCTGTCTGTAACATCAGTGGCTCACTGAGACTTGTGTCACCGTCCCACCAGAAGACCTCAGCTATTCTGGCTGAGATGTGTCTCCTCCTGATGACAATGTTCAAGTGCTGTCTTTTCAACCCACCTAATGGGGAATGTATTTGCTTGTTATAAAGGGAAACCCTCAGAAAGCCAGTATAAGAAATGCCTCAAAATATTTACATAAAATAAAGCAAAATCAAAATAACAATATGTGTAAAAACAGCCTTAGCCAGGATTAAGGAGCCCACCTAGTAACCCGTATAAACCAGACCTTTAGGGACTAGGCCCATGACACAGACCTTTAAACTGCATGTGGAACCAAACCTAACTTTTGTTTGTAGGTTAACAATACTCTACAGGTATATAGTAGGATCAAAGTCAATTTTTTTAAGAAATAGTAAAAACTATTCATAGGAAACCACATTCTAGATGCTGGATTATATAAACATAATACTACCATGCTGCCATGTATTAGTAAAAAGTAGACCCATTCCTGTTTTTTGTTCTAGGTCTAAGTTTAAAGAACTTCTCCAGAGAACATTAAGCCTAGGGCTACACTGGTGAATAAATCTCCTTACTACTGAGAGATTTGACCACGTGTTGGCAGTCACCTCATGTGCAGCGTAGTGAAATTATTGTGCTGCTAATGAAATAATTGCCAGTGAGAAATTAAACCAATTAGTAGTAAATAGATTTATTTGCCAGTATAGCCCAAGCCTTACCCTCTTTATACTCACAGATAGTGGCTGTCCAGTAATATACCCATCCCTTCTGGTTTATCAATTTCCATGGGAAGGCCAAGGATTGTATGAAGTCTGAGACCTTATCTTAAATTAGCAGAGCTGAGATGGACTGGTGTGGAGATACACAAGGAGCTGAATATATAGAAAGGACATGCTTCATCACAAACTGGAGCACACACAGCCTTTACATGACAAACTGGAGCACACACAGGTTCTACATCACAAACTGGAGCACACACAGACCCTACATCTCAAACTGGAGCACACACAGACCCTACATTACAAACTGGAGCACGCACAGACCCTACATCACAGACCCTACATCACAAACTGGAGCACACACAGACCCCACATCACAAACTGGAGCACGCACAGACCCTACATCACAAACTGGAGCACGCAGGACTTACATCACAAACTGGAGCACACACAGACCCTACATCACAAACTGGAGCACACACAGATCCTACATCACAAAATGGAGAGCACGCAGGACTTACATCACAAAATGGAGCACACAGATCGTACATCACAAACTGGAGCACACACACAGATCGTACATCACAAACTGGAGAACACGAATGCCTTATGTCACAAACTGGAGAACATGCAGGCCTTACATCTCAAGCCTGAGCACACACATGTCCCACATCAAAAACTGGAGCACACGCAGGTCCTTCATCACACACTGAAGCACACACAGGTCCTACATCACAAACTGGATCACACACATGTCCCACATCAAAAACTGGAGCACACACAGGTCCTTCATCACACACTGAAGCACACACAGGTCCTACATGACATCCTAGAGCACACACATGTCCTTCGTCACAAACTGGAGCACACACATGTCCTAGATCACAAACTGGGGCACACACAATGGCTTTAGTATGAAGATAATGTCTCAGTTATCAAAGAATGTGCTCCTCAAGAACACTTACATTTATAATCTGAATATCCACTTCATTTTGGGAAGCTGAACAGCCAGTCTAGAAAAGGGCTTAGGCCTCATCCTCCTGATTGCAGTGATCTATACAACTCTGAACAGTCACCCTTCCAGAATAATGTGAAAGATTTTACCTCCTTCCTGGAAAACATATTTAGCTGTATATCCTGGGGTTAGTTCTTCCTAATTTCATCCACCGATGCATGGCTAGGTTCACAGAGCCACCGTAGCAGCTGAAACCTTTGCCCGGTTATACATTCTTTTTTACCCAGGGAATGATGAATATAGAGGACCTTCTTGGAATGTTGATTTCTTTTTTAATTATGTATTGTTTGATATTCTATATATGTACTCTGTTCACTATTGGTATGGGAATTAATGCCTAGTGCAATGCAAGTTGCTAGAAAATGTCTTTCCAAAGGAATTATTTATTATAGGATATGTACAGTTGGAAAACGTACCTATTAAAACTCTTAAACTATGTTGTGTCATTGTAAAAAAAAAAAAAGCATTTGTTGTATTTTATGATCATTATTCTTTTTTTTTTTTTTATTTCCTTCACAAACCACCTGTATACTCTCACCATGCTGTCATCTACATTACTGGACTAACGTGAGCCTGACCTTCAGACGTATGGGTTTATTTATTAAGGTATTATGAAAGTGCAATAGAACATTGCAACTATCACTGGAATGCAGTGGCAGCAAAAGAAATGGACTGGAATGAGTATTACCTGCAGTGCCACCCACTTGTGAAATTTGGTATAGTGGTTCATCCATCTTGATGCAATGGTTCCTTTTAAAAGCACAATTACTATGTACTAATATGATTGCAGTGTAGTGACCAGTGGCAACCAGTCTGTTTGATGATGAAAAATGTGAAATAATTTTGCTTGCGGTTAGCTACTTTTTACAGTAGCACTAATTAAGTTCAGACAGAGACGCAGTGCCAGATTTCACCAGCACATAGCAGTGCCTACGAATGTAAATTTCTGGCTGCCAGTAAAACTGGGTAGTTGGAGGTTCAACCGCTTTAAAGGAGAACTATGGGGTCAGTGTTTTTCCCATAGTTCTCCTTAGGGTAACGGGAGGACACAAACTAGCGTCCTCCCGTTACCCTAAGCTCCTATCTAGAGGCAGAGCCAGCTGTACCCGCCCCCTCCCCGTCCGTTCCGCCAGTCAGCGCTGGCAGATCGGAGAGGGGAATCCAGCCCCTCCCCCTGTCACGGCAGAGAGCCGTGACAGGATCGAGAGGCGAGCGAACCTGGTATGTGTTCGCTCACCTCCCGATCTACTGAGCCGACCTGTGACAGTCTCATTGTCACAGGTCGGCTAGAATTATGAGGTGAGTGAAAAGCACTCACCTCATAGTTCTCCTTTAAGGAATGTATTTTCCCATAGAAGAAGAATTACCATAATATACTGCATATTTTCCATGCTATGTGTAACAGGTTATCCCTCACTGAGATGACAGCACTTCTGACATTGCCTTCATCTGCTTTTCCTTCCAGAGGGAGTCATTATTGTTCAAACATTATCCAGGGTCAGCAACTACATTCTGTACTGTGGTGTTTTGCTAGCTCAAAGATGACACAATTCTTTAAATTCTGGCAAAAGGGCAGATCTTGGCTGTGTTAACAAATGTCTGACATAGCTCAGTCCCTGCTGCAACCTCTCACCTTTTGGCTTGCTAGAAAACATAACAATATTGCAGTCCGACTGAGGAAATGTTTCCTTTTGCCTGCAGCTGATTGATATTCAGAAAGATGGACAGATGGGGCTGATGGTTTTTCTTCTACAGGTAATGTATTGTCGATGTAGGTAATGTAATTGTTGATCTGCAGCATTTTAACACTGGGCAGGCAACTCTTATTTACAGAAGGGCTTTTAAAGCCACTTCAGGGTGGAGACAAAGGTGGAGCAAACAGGGGCACCACACCAATAGATTAGAATACAGAGATGTTTGTTCCACCAAAGTAATTTCAACAAGATCGGTAGTTGCAGCCAAAATGTTTCCTTTGCCCTATGAGCTCCTCATAACAGCTGCTGTGTAAACAAGTTTAATATCCACCCAGTAGCGATTCTACATACACACACAAGTCCTGATGAAGGGGGCAATTTTAAGGCCCCAAAATGTGTTGGCTTCACCTGCCTCTTTTTTTTTTTTTTTTTTATCAAAAATCACTAACTATGTGGCGTGGTGATTTGTGCTTCTGCCTCGTAGCAATGGGGGTCCCTGGTTCAAATCCCAGCCAGGTCACTATCTACAAGGGGTTTGCATGTTCTCCCTGTGCTTGTGTGGGTTTACTCCAGGTACTCTGGCTTTCTCCCACATTCCAAAGACATGCTGGAAGGTTAATTGGCCCTTGCCTAAATTGTTCCTCATATGTATGCATGTGAGATAGGGATCGTAGATTGGCAGCTACTTGAGGGCAGGGACTGATGTGAATGTGTACTATGTTCGGCGCTGTGTAAAATTGTCGGCGCTATGTACATAACTGAAATAAAGGGGGAAAAATATGTGAGCAGAAGTTTTAGTTGCCATTTAATTCACAGCAAAATTATACAGAATTATACTTCCTGTTGCAGCAAGTTAGTTTTATGAATAAATAATTTAATAGATTTCAGAGAAATAATCATTGGTGAGAAACCCTTCTGTGCCAAAGGACCTGTCTTTATTGGTAGAGGATTTCTTTGTTCAATGACTAATGTGCTGAACATTATAGAGATCGGTTGTGTTTTTCAATTTAGTGGACCTTGCACACATGAGATCCATCTTACAGGATCAGTCTCCACCAGATCATACAATATAGTCTCTTAGGAGAAAGTATTAGCAATTAATCTACTGCATAGGTTTGAATGAGAGCAGGAGATTAATTGTTCATTCATGAGATTGCTGGATGATTTTCTTTCTTCTGAAGTATTCCCCTGGGGGATCGGTCTCATCAGACTGCTCGCATAACAATCTCCCGCAGCAGCATCATGCTTCTCTTCTTGAGAAGCTTTTTGCATTCTTGGAGATTAACCAATTGTGGGACCAAATTCCATCTTAGTACCATGAGATTGCACATACAGCCTTTGCTTGCATTAAACCATTCTCATTTCTACAATGCTGTATGTCTGAGGCCCTAGCTTAGGGTCAAGAGTGGAGCTTGGTCTGATGGCTTTGCTTACAGTCTCAATGGCGGATTATCAGTAGGCTCCTTCCTAGGCCACAGGTGCCCACTAACCATTGGGGAACCTTGGGTGAATAATTAAGCGGAGTACCACAGGATTGGATCAGTTGAATAACCAGATATGGTGAATGAGTTGTTTTTTTATCGAAAGTCAATACCAAACCTATTAAAAAATGCCACCTACAAGGCTTTGTTCTCTCTTTGGGAGGAGGAGAGAACAGAGCTCTGAAGAAGACTAGGGCTCTAGTCTTGGGCCCTAGTCTGTGTTGTGGGGGCTCTGACAGTGACTTCTGTGACAACGAAGGGTGAAAATCTGCTATATTCTTAAGTCACGAATATAGTGTACCAATACTATTGCTGTGTGTTTTGTTGTAGCTCTTGTGAGCGGATCAAAGGCTTAAATGTTCACACCAGTGCACTAAGCAAAAATAGGACATTCTGATTTGAAACACAATGCAACACAAATGTATTCTTATTTGTATTTTATATTTACAGTAATTGTCTTTGATCAGATTGATGACTCATTGATCAAT